TTAGCCTAATGAACTCTCTTCAATCATGGAAATTGGTTGAGAAAAATTCATTCCAAATTGGTCTAACTTCCTTGAAATTGTAGCAACTTGATTTGCTAACATAGTAAATGCATCAAATTCATGAATATTGACTACTTTCTTAAGATTCACCCTCTCAAAAGGCCATTGAAAATTATTGGTAGCCATTTCAAATATCATGAAATGGTTTTGACATCAATGAACCACCAACAACGGCATCGATAATTGATCTAAGAGATCCAACTAATCCATTATAAAAAGTTTGAATAATTAACCAAAGTAGTATAGCATGGTGTGTAAAATTTACATAGACACTTCCTTAAGAGTTCTTTAAATCGTTCTCATGCTTCATAAATAGATTTCCCTTCAAACTTATTAAAACATGTAATATCATTTCTAAGCTTCACAGTTTTTTATGGCGAAAAATATTTAGTAAGGAATTTTTGTGCTAAATCACCCCAAGTTCTGGTAGATTCAGGTGCTAACGAATTCAATCACATCTTAGCTTTAACCCTCAGTGAGAAAGCAAATAACCTAAGTCTTATGACATCATCTGATATACCGATGTATTTAAATGTAGCGCATAATTCTAGGCATAATTCTAGAAAATTTGGCAAGATGTAAATTTGAATCTTCAGTTAATGATCCCCCAAACTGATTATTTGATCCCATTTAGATAATAACAGATTTAAGCTTAAATTAATTAGCCACTACAGTAGGTTTTTGAATACTACAATGAAGCTCATCTACAATAGGGTTGGCATAATCTCTTGAAGGTCTAAACTCTTGATGAATTTTAGCATTTTGATCATTTTGGTTTGTCATTTATGTAACTTTTTTGGATTTTTCAAGATTATTAATTTTTTTGATTTTTCTAATTTTTCTAGCAGTTCTCTCTAATTCAGAATCGTAGGGCACTAGTCCTTCAGAACCTGAACTACACATACACTAACATAAAATAAAATAAAACTAAACTTACACAAAATCAAATATAATAACTTAAAAGTTAGATAAGACTTTCTAAAGATAGAAATTTTCTCTTAAATCAATAGATTCTTTATAATTTTCCCGGCAGCAGCGCCAAAAACTTGATCCTGAAACTTTTTATATGCAACAATATAACAATAATTCTGATTATATTTTTCACTTATTTTTCCTTATTTTGCAACAAAACCAAAAACTTGATCTTGAGGAAAAATAAGAATATAATTTTAAATTTATATATATTGGGATACTACGCAAGTATATGTATCGTTATCAAGTAGTATATGACTTTTTGATTTGACTTTTTGATTATTGATTAAGACCTGAATATCGAACCCACAGGGAAGATATGCAATATGCACTTTTTGGAAAACTTTCTATTTTTAAAGAGAAAATTAGTTAAACTAAAGACGTTTTTGCAGTAAAGAAAGTTTAAATATTTTTGGTAATTTTAATATTTTGATAAAAACAGAACAAACTTAAAAAGATAACTTGAGTTTTTGTAGAAGAAAATCACTAAATATGAAAATATCTTTCTCCTTATCAAGAATCAATAATAAGTATAAAAATTCTATTGTGGAAGTATGCATATTATGTAGTGTCAAATAGGAGCAATAATATTCTTTACTCTTACTAGAGATGCTATAAAGAATATTGGCTAATTTAAAGTTTGAATAGTTTTGATGACCCGCTAGGCAGGGAAGATACTAGCTCTCACTCTAGAGTTTCCTCGATTCCCTCCACCTGGGGGCTAACATCTCATATCAGAAACTAAAACAATAAACTAAGTTGAGGGCTTTAACCTGTTACTTTAAATTCCTCTAACTCTACACCCTTCAATGAACATTTCCCTATTTATTTACACTCAATCATATGTACTACATTCTCATTCATACAACCTCACGTGATTCTTTCCAATTGTTGACTAAGACAATTCCAACACGATTATTACATGTTCTTATAACAAATTTTAACATCTGGATTGGCCAAATTAAGAAGTAAATGAAGTACATGGATTTAAATCATCACAACTTCTTCAAACATTAAAGATCAATAATCTCCACAAATTCCATCCAACACTTAATTACTTATCATTTTAAGAAGAAAGATAAAGAAAACTACTCAGAATCCATGGAGAAAACAAAACCACACTTTAGTTTAAAACTAGAAATCATTGTCAAACCAACAACAAGTCTCAATTAAAACCAAAAGTAGTCTAAACAAAAAGATAAAGACCTATCTCAAGTCCTCCACCAAACTCTTCAAGTTCCTTTGAATCTCTTCTCTTTTACAACACTCTCAATATAAAACTAAAATAAAAAAAGATAAATATGTGGTGCTTGAAAATCTTTGAAAATCTCTCCAACCCAACTAACTCCCCAATTTTTGAGCTTTCAAAACTTTCCCAGTACTTTCAAGACCCCTTTCAAAGTCTCAATCTTCCCTCTTTCATAAATCTCCAAAAGGTGCCTTGGTATCTTTCAAAATGTGTCTTGACTCGATGTGTTTCCCCAAGCGATGCATCCTTTCACAATAATTTTTGTCCATGGTGGTTGTATCGTCCATGGTGGTTGTAACCACCTATTAAGCCAATAGGTGCCTGAAAAACCTCTTCAAAATTCACAAAAACCAAATTTACTCATCCAATAATTGCCATTGGCGCTTAAGCGTGGGGCCTCTGGTGCTTAAGCACGGCCTTCTCTGTTTACCTGACGCTTAGGCGCCAAAATATTTTTGCACATTTTTCACCTATTTGCATCTACAATTGCTATTACAAATTAGGTCCACAGTACCACTCCTCTAAGCATTTTCACCATAAAAATAACTTCCATTAAAGAGGAATATCTACAAAATAGGTATAAAAATGTGTCTAAAAACAATATATATTTTAGACTTATAAGTATTCCAAGTTGATATAGTTTTCCTGCCTCACTTATTTCTTTACATCCTTTAGGATAAGATTTAATCTTGATTATTTTCCTCCACACATTCTTTGATATTATTATCAAATGTTGAATCTTTCCTTTGCACATATTTCAAAAGTCATTTGAAAATTCAAATCCACGAGAGCAATTTTAAAATATATATGACAATCCCCAGTAAAAATCCTACCTCACTTCAAAATAAGTTGCGTAACCCCAAGCATTTTTGAGTCCAAAGGGCATAATCGTGCAGCAATAGACTCCTTTAAAGGCAGTGAAATCCTCATTTCATCTTCTGGTGTCATGCGGATTTGTTGGTTGTAGCCCATGTATCCGTCGAGGAGATTCCTTATGTGTTTTTCAAAGCTAGCGCCTTCTTTTTTTTCTTTTTTGTTTGCTTCGCGCCTTGTGGAAATTCAAACGTTGGTTCTTTCAACCAGATATATCTGTGTCAGATTGGTATCAGAGCTTAGGTTTGCAACCGTGGTGGAGAGCTTCGATGAAGGAAGATTTGAAATTGAGACGACTTCAGAAATTAGAGATGGCACTCTAATTATTTCCATGTTGTCAACCAGTACTAGCATTCATTGCCTCTTTCTCATCCAGGGGATGCGGAGCAAGTTTGAGAAAAAACTTCATTTCGAGACGTGGAGACTGGTACATACAGAACCAGACGCCTGTGTCAGATGCGGAAGCCGAGTCAGCCACGTCTTCATCCCAGATGGCTAACTTATGCATTCGCCCCTGCTATGAAAGCTCCTCCTACTACTAACTAAGAAGAATAAAAAAGAAAGGCTTACGAACGAGTGGAGTGCATAAGCACGTCACTCGCCCCTGTCATTATGGCGGAGTGAGATCATGTTGCTAAGGGAAAAGCCTACTTGCAAAAGCATTGCTTAAGGCAGCTAGAAGGATGAATAAATGGGCGGTTCCGAAACTCCGGGAGGTCCTTGGCTTAAAAGCCCGGATATCTCAACACTTCGCATTCGAATAGGGGATGAACGACTAATGCTTGCTTCAAGGCCGACGGGTTATCCGATACATCTTCTCTTGAATCTTCGCATTTCAGCGAGGTAGGGACCAAGATCTCCGGAACCACTAGCTAGGGAGTTCCCTGTTTTCACTGGCTCCAATGAACTGTTCGGAAGGCCATAAGCAGTTCCAACATCTTCTGATCTTCTATGAATCTTCCATCTCCGGATCTCAATTACAGCCGCTCTTCAGAAGCAAGAGTCTCTGTTGAGGAAATAAGGCGCTAGTGAAGGACGAGGGCAAGTCACAATTTTTGCAGACGCAACTCCGGTGACTTTGGCCCGCAACCGACATCAACTCTTTCGTATAGAAAGCTGAGTGGATCAGCCGCTTCTGCATAAGCTGAATTCTCAGACTGCGGGGAGGCAGGTCCGGGTTTCTGCAATAGGGAGCAGAGCAGGTAGGTCTTCGGAACGCCACACTTTCTGAGCTTTCCCGCTCGCTTTCTGACACCCTCCCCCTCGCAAACCTCCACCCGCAGACCAAGACTCCAACCGAAGCACAGACCTGGGAATTGGTAGTCGGAGAATCGGTACATCGATCTGAATTTCATAACTGGCATGCGATCTGAGAAAACCCCCTTTCTAAATTAGAGTAGTATTGCACCCCCCCGCCCCTGAAGGTCACTTTATGCTCAAGCTCTGTTAGGTTCTTAGTAGCAGTCGGCGACCTTGTCAGCCTAGCTGTTCGCGTGCTTTGCTTGGTTTGCGCAGCTAACGCTACTATAGAAAGTCCTGCCCGCTTGAATAGCTTGTGCCGCTTGGCCCGTCATTCCCGGGTGGCCGCCTATTCTTAGGTTCAAGCTGGTCCGTCTTAGCACGTCATGCTTGATTCGCAGGGACCCAGCTCTTTTCTTTCCCAGTTCGTATGTTCTTTGCTCCGCACCTCTCAAAGCTTCTCCTTCCAATTCCGCTCGCCCCGGTCCTTGATCGAAGGTCTGGGATACGCACCGACGCGACTACTAATTCAAAGGCATGCTCATCCTCGCACCTGACCAGCAAAATGACGTATAGTAGAGTCATAGCTGTGACCCGAACCGCAGTGCTCATGCTCATCAAAGAAGGTAGTGTCTTCTGCATTGCGCTCAAGCCTATTTCTTCCCAGAAAAAACCACCGACGATTTCCGACAAACCGACAAAAGTCTCTCGAAGAGAGCAGAGCAGTCAAAGAATGTCAATTCCATGGACTCTCCCCTCAAGGAGACGGATTTGTCATCCCCAGGTTCCCCTATGTCGATTGATTCGGGAAATGACGAACTTCAAATGTTGTTTCATAAGAGTTCTGATCGTTTGAGGGCGGAAAGCAGTCAAACCTTGCCCTCCGAATGGGCTCTCCCATAAGAAGAATTCTGAATTATGCCAGGCGGTGCACGACCCTCTTTATCTAAAGGTAAAGGAGGTATTCTCCGATCTGCTTCTGCATGGTTCTTGGTATTGGGAGGAAGCAGAAGAAATCTGTGCGTCTTTGAGGAGGCCCCTTCAAACTAATGGAATTAGGCCGGCGTCGAGAAAGATTTGACATTCCCTAAGTAACTCTGTGCTCCAGACGGGGGAAATGAAAGCAGAATTCGTTATCTCTCCTCCCTCCCACATGTTCAATCTTTTTTTAGCTGTTTCCCCAGAGATCTTTCTCATTAACGCAACCTTCATTTTGCTCATTCATGGAGTTTTCTTTAGTACCTCGAAGAAAGATGATTATCCACCGTTAGTCAGTAATGTGGGTTGGCTTGGATTACTTTTTTCTATCTCAATCTTTGATTTGTCCGAAGTATGGTTACTTGGACATTCTTGTGGGATTGGGTTGATCATTTCAGTCAACAACAATAGGCGCGTCGTGCTTGCGTAGCACACCACACCTATTGGGGGTCCGTTTGTTGACCGCATTTTGAGGTCTTCCTTTCTCTTTCTTTAGATACCCTAGGATCAAGACTCTGGATTTTTCTATTTTGACTCTCATAAAGGACTAGACCAAGACCTACAATATTTAAAAATTTGAACAATTTCTTCGCTCCTTGAAGTTTTATATACACGGCTTCTAATCCTTGACGTCCAATTGAATCGATTAAAAGATGACATATTAAAGCTCTTGTTGAGTTCCCATAATGATTTAAAAACCATAAGAAGACCCCACGACGCGTGTGACGTTTGACTTTCTACCGCAAGCAGTTTACATGACTTTGGTTGTCACTTATGTGAGGATCGGTCAATGATTTGCTCATTAAACAGCTCTGATTGGACCAAAATAACTTCTTTTTCCACAAAACGCGTGAATTAAAGTTAAATTAGTATGATATTTGATGAGTTTGTCCGTATGACTCCAGATGATGAAACGGACCCCGCCGTCGCGTCCGGAAAGTCAATTTTAGCTAGGAAGGACACCCATTTTGTTGGGGTGCCATGCTTGCAAAAAATTTGATATTTTATTTTAAAAAAAAATAAGAAAATCTTTTTTTAAATAAAAGGGATTTAAAAATCCTAAATCTAAACTCCCTCACAAATGTTCCTCCCCTCCTCCTCTCGGAACCGTTCTTTCCCGCTTTCTCCCCTCTCTTCTGTTGACTAAATCTCGAAGAGTCCTTGCAGTTCCCCAGTTATCTATTTCTTCGCCGGCCTTAATCGAATTTCATCGTCGGTTGTTATGTTGGTCACTTCCTTGTACAAGTTTTCCAGCGTAATGATTTTGGTAGCCCTCTCATTCTTGAGATTGGGGTGTTTTTCTTGCCGTGAGCCCCTGCCCTCTCGATGGCTATAAATACCCTTTTGGGGTAAGCATTGAAGGCTGATTTTTTTCTAGAGATTTCGAGGAGACAAATTGTGAGAGCTCATTCTCTGTTGGGAGTTTCTATCTCGTGGTCTTCCTTACTCTTCTCGTTCTTGAGATAGCAAGAAGTTGAGGTTAGATTATATTTACTCTTAGAATCTGATTATGGAAATTAATAAAATAGATAGAGATTTCAACCTTTTCTTCTCATTTGGAGTAGTTACCCTCTTTAATACCATGGAGTTTATTTCAAATTAGCTTAGAATTTTGAGTTGGTTTTTGGATTAGCTGCCCATGGGATATCCTCTTTTGGATTATAGGATTGATATTTCAATTGAAATTAATATGTTAGTTTGATTATTACTTTGATGAAAAAATAAGGCTTTCTTACAAATATATCTTCTATGGTTGTCTTTGCTTATTCATGTTGAATGGTAATTCAATAGGTTTGCCTCAGATTGAGATTATCACTGCATTTGGGATTTGTTTTGGTAGCTCGGTTCTTTTGCTCATCTTCCTGCCCCTATTTGAATGCATGCTTAGAGTTTGTTGTAATGCTTTGAAGAGTGGGTTTTGGTGGCTTGGTTTTGCTTCCTGTTGCCTTATTTGAGAACATCTCTTCATATATTTTATTTATTAACTTGCAGCTCGCCTTGCTACCTGAGTTTTTTTTGGAAACTTATAAACTGTTTAGCCTTTGGGCTGTGGTTTCTTTTTGCTAGAAAGATATATTAAGATCTCATAAAATATTTGAGTTTCTTTTAACTATTGTTTTCTCACTGCATTGCTTTAACATGGAGATCCTTGGATTTATTTGATTCATTGGGAACTATGTTTTGAGCTTTTTGGTTGAGAATTTGGTCTTACTTCATTTTAAAGGCTTTGTTTTAAGCTTCTCTATTGTTCTCTGTTTTGAAATGAAGATCCGTAGATTTTTTAATTTTGGGAGCTTTCTTTTGTGCTTCATGCTATCCCTTTATTCACGTATAAACCATTGGATTATTTTGGTGTTTTGGAATATAAGCTTAAGGCTTGGTTTTGCTTCTTCTTGGTGGTTCAGCTTAGCCCTTATGCTGAGTTTGGTTTTGTGCTTCCTGTTGTTCTCTTTATTTGAACTTAAATATCAGAAATGTTTGATGATTTGGGTAGCTGTTTGATGGCTCGGTGATGATTTGGATAACCCGAGTAATTCCACTAATAACCTAACTCATGAGACTTAGAAGTATAAGGTGCAAAAGAAATAGGGTCCTACTTAAAGAAGCAAGACCCTGTGTATTGGCATACACATAAGCAATGCGTAAAGCATATCATAAAAAAATAATGATTAGAAAATAAATCTCAATGAAACTAACATTAGATCATAATTACTCAAAAGAGAATAAAATCAAGAATTCATAAAAAAACCACAAACAAAAGCTTTAGAAGATTAAACCCAAGAGCTCGAACTCAAGATCTTTATGTCATGAAAATGCCAAAAAAAAGGCTTGAATAAAAATGCATATCAATATACCAGACATGCATGTGCAAAGAACCACATAATTATGAATACATAAATACAAAAATCACCTCTTACAACATCATAAAGATGACTACATGGAATGTTCTTTATGATTTGCAAGTAAAAGGTCGTGGTGTCTAAATACCAGTGAATATTATTTATATGTTAGCCCCTTTATCTCTGGAGGGAAGAAGGGATGTGCTGACACACAATAAAGTCTAAAGTTATTCAGTGGAAAAACTCAAACACTATACATGCCTCATGTAAATGCTATAAAAAAAGGTAGAAAGTGGAAGAAAATGTATTTACATTGGGTCATTCCAGAAGATAAAATAAATGTGTATGCTCTGTCGATTAGTCAGCTAAGGTTGAATTATGACCCACACGGAAGAGTGTACCAAAAATTCAAGAGGGTAAGTTCCTTGGTTGATTATCTAGATAGATTGGAAATCATATCATTAAAAACCACCAAACTCTACCTAAAGACATGGTAACATGACAAAAAGGTCATTATATGTGTGGAGGGGTGTACCAGTAATGAAAATTGTTGGATCTTTTAAGCTTTGTGAGGTTTAATGGCTTGATGGTTTCTTCAAGCCTAGATTCATTTGGGGAAGGTAAGGGAGGTGGTATCTTGACTGTGGATGAGTTTTTAGGATGATGATTAGCATGGATAAAGCTTCCCTTGAATTATCCATGGAGGCCTTCATCTAGGTTAAAGATTGAGCTCATATTTTGGCTAATTTGGGTGGTGGATATGGTAGCTCAAAGGGCCTGATATAACCTTCATCATACAAGCTCCGTTGGTTAATTAATGATCTTGAGGATGGGGTAACACATACACCTCCTCATTATCATTTTTTATGTTATGTTCATGATTGTCTTAATCATGAGAAAGATGAGGTTGTTACCATCCTTTCATTCCATCATTCATGAGGAAATGACACATAAGTTCCTCCCTTCATTATTACCCCATAACGTTGTTTGTCTTTTGTCAAGGATGATGTGTCATGGGTTATAATAGGTCTTATGGGTCTTGAATGACTTATTAGATGACCCTTCATTTGTTCAAATTAATTTTCAAAATTATTTATGGATTTTAGATGTCATGTTTAATGTCATTTAATTTTGGGTTAAATGCTTATAAATCCATTTTTAATTAATTATGTAATTAATTAAAAATGTAGGAAATTATAACATTAACCCATAAATTGATAAAAAATGATTTTGGGTGTTAATCATTTGACTAATTTCATCAATTTGGTCCAAAATTGAATATTTTTACCAAATTTGGTCAGGTGGACTATAGTTGACTAGTTTGACCATAGTTGACCAGATTAGGTGTAGGGTTGACCAATGTGACTTTTCTAACCTTGTCATGGCTAGGTTAGTCATGGGGTCCATGGGTTTTGGTAGTATGTCTTGGTTTGACCATTTAAATCATTTGGTTGACTCTTGGGTCAATGTTATGATTATTAGATCATAGATTGATTATCTTGACTAAATTTGATCTTTTTTATGTCAAGTGTTGAGCAATATAGTCAATGTGGTGGTCATTAGGGCATGAATTGACCATTTTAACCAAGTTTGACTTTTTAGTGACCAATGTTCTCAATGTGGTGGTCATTAGGTCATTATTGACTATTTTGACCAAATTTGACCATTTAGTTCAATGGGTGACTAGATTGACTATGGTTGACCAGGGTTTACCAGGGTTGACCAGGCTGACCAT